GTCCAATAATACATCCTGGAACTGTGAGTTATCACAAATGCACACTTCCCTAAGCAATCCCCCATTTTAGTGACTTTATTCATTGTATTTTTCTGTGCTTTATTTCTTGTAATTATTATGAGAGGTATTAAAGCCAGGAGCTTTAACTTGATATTTTGGTGTATGTGTATTTCATTTCCAGTAATATTGTCTTGTCTACCCCATACTAGCAGTGAAAGAACCCCCTGTTCAGTGTGAGTTCTGTGGGTGGCCCTCTCAATTGCGATAAGCAGGCCATACACTGTGACACAGTGAAAAAGCTGAAAATTAAATAATTATGCAAATTAGGTAACTAATTTGCACAATTATTCACCCCAAAACTAATCAGGTCTCTGCATAGTCCTAGAGAACCTATGTACATTTTCATTGAAATGTGATGTACTTCCGAAAATTTATTTTGCAATAAGGTGATAATTATGTACTGATATCACCCTGAACACTACCAGGTCTGTACAGTGTCCTATGACATCTAGGTACCAAGTTTCATTGAAATGTGATGATTAGTAGTTGAGTATCAGTGGAAAAGCCGAAAATTGATAAATTATGCAAATTAGGTAATTAGTATGCATATATTTTCACCAAAAACTAATCAAATATGTGCATAAGTTCAAAGCATCTATGTACCTAGTTTCATCAAAATTCAATGAGCGGTTCTTTAGATATAAGTGGAACAGTCATGGAACAGCTAAAAATTAGCTAATTATCATGCAAATTAGGTAATTAATATGCATGGCTTTTTACCAGAACCTAATCAAATCTGCGCATTGGCCCAGAGCATCTATGCACCAAGTTTCATCAAAAACCGATGTATGGTTCTTGAGATATCAGTGGAACAGACACACACATACGCATACAGACAAAGTAACTAACTGCAAAGACTCCCATTGTAGTTTTTGTAAGAGAATTTATTCTTGAGTGACAGCTGCATTGATATTTCAGGAAGATTAATTATGCCATGACATTTTTTAGTCTGAGTCCCTTGACTGAGATAAGAGTTGAATGTCACAGAGAAGTAATCATGCTGTCAGTGTAGTGACAATCATTTTAAATTGAACAATGTGTGCACATGTATACAGCCCTGAAAGCTGACATACTGGAAAACTGGGTAAATAATGAACCATTCCTGCATGAACGACCACTGTGTGCGCAACTACGGGAACTGACCTTAATCTTTTAGAAACTGTGTTTTCTCTCTCATATGAAAATTTTTTTCACAAAAATCAGTCTGAAACTTACATGAAGAATGCAGAACTACACAGGGACACTGTACCATAATCACGACTTTTGAAA